CAAAACGCAGTGTTTCGACACCAAAACTCCCAAATCAGAGCAGACTCAGACTCTCCTGAACGCTGCTGGCTCTAACATACAGTCCTGTCACGTCTCTCACTGCATGATCAGTGACAGAAAAGCCCTCAATGCACATACAGGTAACATCTGCGTGCCAGCGGCACTGTTGTAACGTGCAGAATGGTTAAGGGTTTTTTTTCATTCCTGTGTAAAGGATGGACACAGAGAAAGCCATTTTTAGCCCCTTTGCCTAGGACCTTGTCTTTATCTGTGCCACCAAGGATGCTAGCCACCCTCTGGGGCCTGTGCTTCATCTAAAACTATTTAGCTGATACAAAAAGGTTCCTTCTGCCAGGGAGCAGGCAGTGCCAAGGGACTCAATAAACACAGGCCATTGTGCCACTGTATATACCCCTAGCCCCTTGGAGAAATGTTTCCCCTGTAGATTAGCAAGGGAAGATTAGTCACTCCTCACCCACCCAACTTTGAGGCTCAACTCACTGGCCGTTCCAGCAAGTTACTTAAGCACATCGCCAACTTAAAGTTTTTTGTTCCTTGATTTAGGCTCATTTATATTTTGGCCTGAATCTGGATTTTAGTAATCCTAACTCCTCTTCATGCCAAATGAAGCAACTCCCCTTATATCCCCCATGGAGGACTAAGTAAACTCAAGGCCCAGAATATTAGATCAGCCATGGAATAATGGCGGGCAAGGGCAAGAAGTCATATATTGTACATCCAAATTTAAATTTGCTAATTGCAACCCTCTTCTTTTTAGTCATTTCCTTAGCTAAATGACTTGTCTTGCATCCTTAGGATCGTTTGTGGTTGAGAACGTGCTGAACACATACTATCATATGCATTTAACAACGAAGAGAAAACAATCTTACATGAAGAGAAAACTTCAGACATTTTGATGCTTTCATAACAAGAAAATGAAACTTCTTCTGAGCATTTACTCAATAAAATTGGCTAAAAGAAGCACCCTTGCAAAAAACTGTGAGGAAAACCCTACTAGAAACTTAAAAGCATCAGTTGTTTATTGGAGACAGGGCTCAGCCTAGGTTTCAGTGCAGCCTTTTCTACGACTGACAAGAATAGCTGAGGTTACTGCTTATCAAATGAAAGTGTCATCTTGTCTGTGACAGACGTGCCAGCACTGCTCAGTGTCATAGTCTTTGCACCTACTGGAAGCTACTCTAGCTTGATAAGCCGTACCCCTACTCAGACCTAAAACTGTAGTCTCAGCTCTCCCCCGTTTTTAGAAAGCAGGGATTTGAGATCAAATCACTGGTGTAGAGGAATCCCACCACTGGGGAGGATAACTGAAGGACAAAGCAATTGGGTTCACAGGTTAACGTGGAGGCATCCGATCCTTGAAGGGTTAACAGAGAAACAACCAGAAAGCAGGTTTTAGATGCATATAAATAAAGAAAACTGAAGGAGAAACTACTACTCTCTGTAATGGAGTAAGGTCTCAATTTTAAGCTGTGACAGAAAGCAATAATGTTATGGATTCAGTTAATTACAGCTGGATAAAACTTAAAAGCTCTACAATAGACATATTTTTGGCTCTACAACTTTTAACTCTTTCAAGGACTTTACTGGTTCTCGCCACAGGCGTTTCTGAGTACCCCCCAGTCTTTATTTTTTATTGTTCTCAGAGTATCCTCTGAATTAGATTTAGTGCCTCATTTTAATTCCAGGGAGCTAAGGTACAGAAAAACTAAGGTGGGAATTTCAAAGTCACAAAACGCACATGCACGATATACACAACGGGGCT